TAAATAAAATACTTATCTATTTTCACCTGAGTAAATGTCAAATGTTCCTCATTGATGTGCCTTTTTTATAATATAGTAATGTGTGTATATATATATTTGTGTCTGTTTCTAGATATTCTTCACTGTTCTATTAATCTATTTATTTTGGCACTAGTATCATATTCACTTAATTACATTAGCTTTAAAATATCTTTAACTCTCTGGAAGGACAATCTCTTTTTCAGAATTTTCATGATTCTTTTCACAGTTTTTTTTGCTCGTTTTTCTAGATAAATTTGAGAATGGCTTTGTCAAATTCCAACAAAATAAAATTATTGAGGTTTTAATTAAGATTATGTTAAATTCATGTGCTAATTTCGGAAGAACTGATGTATTTACAACTCTGAATCTTCACATTCAAGAAAGCAGCATATCTTTCTGTTTATTAGTATCTTTTATGTTTCTCAGTATACAGGTTTTTTCATATAGATGTCAGATATTTCTTATTAAGTTTATTTGTGTTTTGTTTATTTTGGTTTTGCTGTTATGAATGGGGTTTTTTCCATACATTTTTCTGTTTACTGTTGGTAACTAGAAAAGATTCTTAGTTTTTGTATTTATTTTGTCACTAGCCACTTTACTGAATTCTTTTTTTATTTCTAACAGTTTCTTGATAGATTTTCTTGGATTTATTAGGTATATAATAATGGCATTTGCCCAAAAAAACAAGAGAGAGAGAGAATTGTATATCAACTTTTTTGATAATTACATCTATTATTCTTTTTTCTTGCCATATTGCATTAATAGGAACTTCCAGAACAAACTTAAATAGCAGTGGTCTTATTGGGCATCCTGATAACCCTCAGTGAAGAGGTGAGAGATGAGCAAAGTCTTGACTGAGATGAAGGAACAAACCAGGAAGAGTCTGGGCAAAGAGATTTCCAGGCAGAGAACAGCCAGTGCAAAAGCTGAGGAGGGAGTGTGCCTGATAAGTTCTGGAATGTCAAGGAGGCCAGTTTGCCTGGAGAGGAGTGGCTGAGGAGGAGACTGGTAGCAGATAAGATTGGAGAGGGAATAAGGAATGCAGATCATGTAAAGCCCTAAAGGCCATTATTGTAAGGACTAATATTGAACCTTCCTTGCTTACTATGTTAGCATTACCGTGTCATAGTGAGTCTGTAAGCATTGCATCCTTGGTTAAGAAATTTATTTATTAAAAATAGATCTACTTTTTAAAAAATCTTAATATCTATTATTGACAAATATTCACTGATGTACTCTAGTGTTTAAAATGTCTGTTATCATGATCATAGTAAACACATTCATTCCCCATGATCTTATGAATGTGAAATCTCCTGCATAACTCTCTTCATGTTTTCTTATGTAAAGATGCCTATTATACTATTGGGCAGAGTGTTTAATCAGCAATGTATCAGTTTCTAGAAGGGGAGATTATTGTGAACAACAGCAACCACAGCCAAGAGTAGCTTTGTACTTTGCTTACTTTGACCCAAACGTTAATTTAAAATCCTCAGTCATTTTCAGCGTTCAGGTTCTTCTGGTAGAAGAATACGTAAAGGCAGCCAGGCAGCAAGAGTAGTGGAGAGTCACAAATGGTGGCTATGTTGAAACTGGCCTAGTTGAGCGGATTAGTCAGCTCACTGGGAAAACCGTAAGCTCCTGTGAAAAATCAAATATCCCAAGAGGAATAAAACAGGTAAAGGAAAAACAAAACTTTATTGCTGAGAGAAGCGGAATTAACCAGAATGTTGGCATTGCTATAAATTAAAATTTTCCAAAACTCAATAATTTCTGACAAAGCTTGGCTATTTGATTCTAGAATGTAACTTTAAGGCTGCATACAAATATTTTCTCTTCATTTGTAGTCAGCGGAAAGAGAGAAATGAGAAAGAGAAATTTGTCTGACTACTGCTAGGAACCTCCCACCCTTTTCTTATGGTTTGTAGCCCTGCAGGATCCCTGGGTAACTTACAAGATAGAGTCAGTAGTTTCAAAAACATTAGTCACGATTTTACATCTCTTCTAGTATCTCCCAGTTATGATCCCCACCCATCACTTTTGCAACAAAGAGGAGCTGAGTGGTTTCTGATGATAATTTATTCTGTGAAATGACCTCATCCTGTGATCTTGTCAATATGTTCAGATTATATTTAGAATATTTACCTAAATTTTACACATCAGTAGGTCTGGTTTTCAAACACAAGAATATGAAAGATACTTTAAGAAATTAGTTGTGATAACAGAAAGAACAAAAGGAACAATGAGAAACACATTCTGCAAATAGCTGGTTGTGAAAAGCTATTTTAGTTCCTAAGAGTTAATAATTTATACTTGGTAGAGAGGAACTGGGCAGATCCAAAAGTTTTTGTCCCTTTAGTTCCATTAAAATGTGAAGGCTCTCTCTTAGTAGTGTTAGACCCCATGTAGCTTCTGCAACCCCAGCTTACTGCTGTCCTCAACATGTGAATCTGCATATTGTAGTCATCTGTTCTTTTTTGACCCTCCTGACTTGAGCTTTCCCACATTCCTGCCTCTTTCTCTATTATGCCAATTTCCCCTACTTGCCAATTCCTTTTTGTATTAAATGTGTTTATCACAGATCCTAAGTAAATTTGAAAATTAATGTTACTGTAACTTTTCTGTAGTTATTGACTCTCTGGGATTTTTTAAGTTGATTAAAACAGGAAAATATGGAAGAAAAGTAAAGACAGAGTGTAAGACAGAAAGTGGGACTGAAGAGGAGAAGTAGACTAATAATATGAACAAAGAAGCAGAAAAGACCTCAAAATGGATAATTAACATAGGACTTTAGGGGAAGAGGAAAATTACAGATCTTTTGAACAACTGTCTACTTTTCAGTCTTGGATCTATAGCTTTCGTTTTTCAGGTTATGGTAAAATAGTTCAATGCCAAAATATCTAATAGCTTCCATTAATATTGTTATTCTGCCTTTTAAGAAAGAAGATGTGAGCTCAGTGGTAATTTTAGGTCTTAGTGATAGCTGGAACAGAACACCTTAATTTCCCAGTCCTTAACAAGATTTTTCTGAACTTGAATAATAAATTTACGTAAGTCTTATTTAAAAATTCCTCAGTTTGATAGTTAATATTTCCTCCATTTTTGGGTTTCAACATAGGTCTTTATCAACAAATCAGTGGCAGAAACAGAATCAGAATTCAGGAATTTTGATTCTGAAATGCGTATTACATGAAATAGCTTATTGGATTAAACCTGAATTTGTCCAGCGCAGTATTTGATCTGAAAGCGTTTTGCAGGTATTCATGATTACTGTCCATAATAGCAACTCTGAGAGTTAGGTGTACACTGCAGGCAACCTTCTCTCAATAAGCTCTGATGGACCTAGTGTTCGATAATTTTTCTCTTTCTTAAACTTATATATTTTCAGTTTCTATTATTATCAGAGAGTGAAGTCCCTTTTTAGTTTAAGAAGTATCTCTTTATTATTTTGAAATAGTTTTAATATTTCCATGTTAACATCATGATTTAGAAGAAAGGAAGTCAGAAGACTTGGATTTTACTCCTGGGTTTTCCCCTGATTAATTATATAACCTTTGAAGAGTATTTAACTTCTCTGGAACTCATTTTATTTTCATTTATATAATAAATACTAAATAGCTCTGAAGTATTTTCTTATTCTAAATGAATGTGATAGATTTCTTGATCATACTCTTTTTTTTTTTTTGCCATTGTTACCAATTTCTATATGGTTTCATAGATCTGGCCATATGTTTTCTAATTTCAGTCTTCTCAGTAAACTACTAACTGCCTTGGTTTCCCTTCTCTCAATTTTAAAAGTACTTTCTGATTTTCTCTGGCTGTGTAAATTGTGCCTCTCTAATCTTCCTCTCTTGATGTCTTTCTTAAGCTAGAGTTGATGAGAATAGCACCAAGGACTGGAGGTGTGGGAACGTGTGCTGTGATATTGTACTAATGTAAGGTCATATTTTCTGTTTTATTTGGGCTACTTTTTTTTTAATGCCAATATTTCTAGAATTTTTTAGCCATATTATTTCAGAATGTTTTTTAGGCCAACCCTGTGCCTCTGGACTAGACTATTCCTAAGCTTGTTACTATTCAGTATCATCTGGGACAGATTTCACAGCCTGTCTCTTACCTTGAGGAGGTTCTTATAGCTAGCATAAATCTTGCTTTCTGCAATTTAAGTTGAATTTATTTCCTTTTTCTTCCTCTGTGGGGATGGGAACAGCCCCAAACTAGAAGTGATGCTTTCTTACGAGGGCCATCCTGAAGGTAGTAGAAAGATTATTTCCAGTCCAGCATCATTTCTAGCTTTTATATATCAAAGCTTCCTGACTTTCATCTCAATATTCATGGTCTCAGGAGATACTATACTTTATGGCCCAAATATTAGTTACATATCTAATATTAATGTTTATTATGTCTTTTGCTAGTCAGAACCAAATGAGGTTCTAAGATAAATGAGTTCTCAAAACACATTTGTGGACTTTAGCAGATTTGTGTTATGTTTAGTATAACTACAGTTATGGGACTGGGTTTTTGCTTGTGGTTTCTAGATTTTTAATCTCATTATTTTATTAGTTATATTGTATACATGATTTATTCATCCATATCTTCCTTATAAATGATGAGAATAGAAACTTGTTCTTTAAAACAAGCTGTCTTGAAGCAAATTTCAATGTGTGTAGTCAAAAAGCTGTAGTACCCAAGATAAGAAATGTGCTAGGTATTGGAATGAAAGAAGAAAACACATTTTCTGCCCTTGAGGAGTCTATAGTCTTACTGAGGGAAGAGGTTATAAAAATTGTAACTATAAAGCACTTATAAAATAATATATGATAGTGCATATAAAATAAGACGTTTAGTGTGAATTTTATTTTACATTTTAAAGATTAATACAGAAAGCATGTTATACTGTATATATCGTCTCTATTAATTAAGCCATCCTAAAATGTCTAAATTAATTGTTTCATTCTGATATTTGTTTTTTCACTTTAAAGGTTCAGGAGTTTTCTGAAAAGTCCTTCTTCTTACAGCTTTTGAGAACTCATGAAAATGCCTTAGAAAGGCAGTGCAGTGAAATTACAAACCAAAGGATTATGCTTCTTCAAACTTTTGTAAGCCTCCAGTCACTTAGAAAAATCTGTTTCACTGACTGTGTCAAAAAGTATTTAAATATACTTAGGTGTACTTTCAGAAAATTATCCATGCGCATATTGGCAGATAGTCCTGTTCAGCTATGGAGAAGTATTAAGTGCTATTTAAAACCAGTTGGTAGGGTAATATAGTTTGAAAGAATCCTATTGGCAGCGATGCAATATAGAAATTATTTGCAATTATAATAAGCATAAAAGAAACAGTGAAACTGATTTGAATTGCTCAAGCTTTGAGACCTTGGTTTTAATGCCTTTGAAAGGCAGAGAGGTTCATACTTAGGCATATTTATGGATGTGGGTGAAGAGAGAGATTTTGTTTATCTTTTTATCATAAATCGGAGCCAACAGGCTCAGTAGTTTTAAATGATAGGGCAGTTTAGGCATATGACTTGTAGCTAATTGACATTTCAAAGAAAATATATTTTAAAATATTAAAAATATGTATCTAAAGTCAGAATCACCAGAATCAGCCACCAGTGGTTATAAATGACATGGCCAGTTTCTGAATGTTGCTCATAATTAGTTGACATCTCCTAGAAAAATGCAGTAATGTTTAGGTTTTAGCATTTTAAAAAAGTTTAGGTTCTAGCATTGTCCACAGTTTTTGGAAATTCTTGTTTCTACTTTATGTTGATATTTTATAAAATGTAAACTGTTATTTAGAACTGAATTTGAAATGAATGTATGATTTTAACTTCATTGTCTGCATTTTAAAGGTTTCCTTGGCTTTCCTTGTTTGTTTTTCTTTTTTTTTTTCCTATAAGGCAGTAATTCCTTTGAGTGCAGGTTTTCATTTTCAAGTTTCGTCATTTAATTATTTTACAACTTAATTTTATATTGTAATGACAAAATGGCATATATGGTTGTAAGTTTAATACACAAACCACGTATATAATGATGAGTGGTGGAATTTCTACATCAATAATTCTCCCAAAACATTAAGGATAAATCTTTCATGTAAAAATAGTTGGTTGTTATTACTTAATAGCTTCAGTTTTTTGTTACTATTGCTGGAGGAGTAAAGCATTTCTGTGATAATACCAGAAAGTATAATTTTATATTTTTGTTAATAATTCCAGTGATTGTATTTTAAATAGTAAAGAAAAATATTATTGCAATTAACACCTATATTTGATCTTTTATTTCTGTTTTTCAGGAGGCTACAAAGAAAAAAGTAACAGAGGAGAAGGAAAAATTTATTAAAGAAATTACAGACTTCAATAATGAGTATGAAATAACAAAGAAAAGAGAGCTTTTGATGAAAGAAAATGTCAAGATTGAAATATCTGACTTAGAAAAGCAGGCAAACATTTTGAAAAGGGGTATGAATACACAGTACGGCTTCATTTATCTGGCATTAGTGAAAATAACTTATTTTGAGTCAATGGATTTTCCAGAAATTTAACTCTTTAATAAGCAAATTGAGTTATTGCATAGCTATTCTTTTAACTTTTTATCTTACTTGTCCTAATGAATATGTATCTTTTATTGTGAGCAGTCTCAAATTATTTAGAAATAGGTGTGACATGAACATTTGATCATGCATTCAATAAGCAAATATCTGTTTACTATGTTATATGGTAAGAACTATTCTTATCCTCTACAGGATATAAAACTAAAAAGTAGACGAGTCATATATGTAAGCAAATACTTAGAGTACAATGTGATAGAAGCTATAATAGGGGTAAGACTGGTGCTATAATCCTCATTTTACCATAAATCCAGTTTAAACTAGGAAACAAGGTTACACAGCGGGTTGAGGAGAATTTCATTTCAAGAACACTAGTATGCATGTCATTGCCATCTGTGATAAGATCCTGAACTAAAGAAGTTGCCAAAGAGAGGAGGGAGTGAATTAAAGAGATATTAAGGAAGATTGACACTACTTTATCACTGATTAATGAAAACAGAAATAGAAAAAGTCAAGAATCAGTCACAGTTTTCAAACTTCAGAGATTGAGTAGAATATGGTACCAGGAAGAAGAGGAGAGGTGGAGAAGCCTGTCTGAACTATAGTCTTTTCTGGGCAAAAAGATTGAGTTTTGTTTCACGTATTTTTAGTTGGTGATGTCTGTGGCATAAACAGGTACTGATGTCCAGGTGGCAGCTGGAAATTTGATTGTGAAGCTGATAAGCAAGATCAGAACTGGAGTATTATGTTTGGACTGAGTCCAAAGGAATTGGTGACATCATTAAGAGGGAACATGTAGAGGGAACGTAGAGGAGGAGCAAAGACCAGAGACAGAAAACTGGGAAAGCATAGTATTTAAGGGAAGGAAGAGAAGAAGAGTGAGACAGAGTAGTCAAGGAGGGCAAGAGGAGAACCGGCAGAGAGTAACATTTTGGAAACCAAAAGCAAAAAAGTTTTTCTCAAATGATTAGGAATCAAAATAGGACATCGATTTGGTAATCAGAACATTTCAAGAGTAGTATCGTAGAGTTGAATGGTAGAAGAACACTGGTCGTAGTAGAGAAGGAGTCAATGGGAGGTGAGGAAAGGGAGAATGAAAATATAAATGATAGTAGGTGGACAATGAGTTTTTAATGGAAGCTTTCTAAAACATACTCTTACTTTGATGCCTTTAGTAAGTGGAGAATAATAAACACATTTAACTTTTTTACTGACTTGGAGCTATCACGATGAATAATTTATTGTTGTGCTTTGCATATGATAATTATTATTGTAGGTAATATTTATTAGGCTTATACTATATAAAAACTACCATCCTGAAGATTATAAATGCTAAAATCAGGTTGACTGAATTTAAATCTTAATTTCCTCACTTAATAGTTGTGTCATTTGAGGTAAGATGCCAAACTTTTCTTTGCGTCAGTTTCCTCATCTGTAAAGATGAGGGATAATAATAATGACCTTAGCGAAGTTGTTGTGAGGGTTCAGTGAAAGAATATTTAAGCACATAGATTGCTGCCTGGCACATAATTAAGTCTTCAAAAATATAAGGATTATACTTTTTAATTGGTCTTATTTTATAAATGAAGGAAATGAAGTTCTCAGAGATAAATTAATTTGGTAGGACAGAGAGTCTTAACCATAGGTGCACATCTGGGAAGCATTAAAAAAGTTTTAAATGCTTGAGTCTCATCCTAGACCTATTGAATCAGAATTTCTGTTGATGAGGACAGGAAACTTTTTTTTTAAGTCCCTTAGGTGATATTGATATGTACTGTTGTTTAATAACCATACATGTAAAATACAGAGTTAAATAGGTATTAACTTTAGGAGATAACCCTGAAACTAACTTTCTTCAAAAAGTCATAGTTATCATCACTTCTATTCAGTACATATTGGAAATTCTAGCCGAACAAGAAAAAGAAATAGAAGGCAGCCAAATTGAAAAGGAAGAAGTAAAATGATCTCTGTTTCCAGATGACATGATCTTATCTATAGAACACCTGAAGATTCCACAAAAAACCCTGAAGAGCTAATAAATAAATACAGCAAAGTTGCACTATACAAATTCAATACACAAAATTCAGTTGCATTTCTGTGAACTAGGAGTGAGCAATCCAAAAAGGAAATTTAAAAATTCCATTTCGGGGCTGGCCCCATGGTGAAGTGGTGGAGTTTGCATGTTCTGCTTCAGCGGCCCAGGGTTTCGCTGGTTCAGATCCTGGGCACAGACCTAACACTGCTCATCAAGCCATGCTGAGGTGGCGTCCTGTGTAGCAGATCTAGAAGGACCTACAACTAGAATATACTGCTACGTCCTGGGGGGTCTTTGGGGAGAAGAATAAGAAAAAAAAAGATTGGCAACAGATGTTAGCTCAGGGACAATTTTTAGGAAAAAAATTTCTTTTTAAATTCCGTTTATAACAGCATTAAAAAGAATAAAATACTTAGGAATAAATTTAACCAAGGAGGTAAAAGACTTGTACATTGAAAACTATAAAACATTGCTCAAAGAAGTTAGGGAAAACCTAAATAAATGAAAAAACATCCTATGTTCATGAATTTGTAAACTTAATATTATTAAGAGGACATTATTACCCAAAATGATCTACAGATTCAATGCAGTCCCTTTCACAATCCTAATAGCATTTTTTTCGTGATTAGAAAAACTCATCCTAAAATTCACATGGAATCCCAAAGGATCCCAAATAGCCAAAAGGAAGAACAAAGTTGGAGGACGCACACTTTCTGATTTCAAAACTTAAATGCCACAGATTTAAAATGCTACAGTAATCAAAACAGTCTGGTACTGGAATAAGCACAGACATATAGAACAATGGAATAGAATACAGAGCCCAAATATAAACCCTTGTCCATATGGTCAAATGATTTTTGATAAGGGTGCTAAACGTATTCAATGGGAAAGGACAATCTTTCCAACAAATAGTGCTTGGAAAACTGGATACCACATGTGAAAGAATGAAGTTGGGCCCTTACCTTACACCATATACACAAATTAACAAAATGGATCAAAGTCTTAAACTTTAGAACAAAAACTGTAAAGCTCTTAGAAGAAAACATGGGAATGTTGGATTTGGTGATGATACTGGATTTGGTGATGATTTCTTGGATACCAAAAACACAGGCAACAAAAGAAAAAGTAGGTAAATTATACTTCATCAAAATTAAAATCTTTTTCACATCTAAGTACACTATCAAGAGAGTAAAAACACAACCCGCAGAAGGGGAGAGAATATTTGCAAATCATGTTTTTGATAAGGAATTAATATCAAGAATATATGAAGAACTCCTACAACTCAACACTTAAAAAAATAAACAACCCAATTAAAAAATGGGCAAAGGACTTGAATAGACATTTCTGCAAAGAAATGGCCAATAAGCACATGAAAAGATGCTCAATATCACTAGTCATTAGGGAAATGAAAATCAAAACCACAGTGAAATACCCCTTCGCACTCATTAGGATGGCTATTAGCAAAAGAAGTTGAAAGCCTCCACGACATGATATTCACAGTGTTCAGGATGCAGTCCAAAATTACTCGACCTATGAAGAATCAGTGAAATAGGACCTAGCGTCAAAAGAAAATCATGAGATGCCAAAACCACAGTGATGTAGATGTTGGGATTATTGGATGAAGACTTTATAGCAGCTATTATAAACTATGCTCAATGAGTTAAGGAAAATATACTTGTAATAGATGAAAAGATAGGTAATCTTAGTGGAGAAATAGAATATGTTAAAGAATCAAATGAACATTTTAGAACTGAAAAGTACAATATCTGAAATAAAAATGGTGCTGAATAGGCTTAATAGCAGAATGGAGCTGACAGAGGAGCCAGTGAACATGAAGATAGATCAATAGAAACTATCCAGTCTGAAGAAGAGAGAGAAAATTGAAACAAAACAAAAAATAGAACCTCAGGGAGCTGTGGGACAATTTCAGAAGGTCCAAGTGAGTAAATAGAGTCTCTGAAGGAGAGGAGAGAGAATGGGCCTGAAAATATATTTGAAGAAATCATAGCAGAAAATTTCTTAAGTTTGCTGAAAAACGTTAGTTTACAGACTCAAGAAACTCAGCAAACCCAAACAGGATAAATTCAAAGAAATCCATGCCTAGTCAAACTGGCAAAAAGCCAAAAGTAAAGAGAAAATCTTGAAAATATGGAACAATGAATCAAAAGACCATATTCCTGTCACTAGAAACTGTCAAGGCAAGAAGACAGTGGAATAAAACTTCGAAAAACTGTTGAAAGAAAAGTAAATCTCTAGATCCAGTGAAAATATCCTTCAAAAATGAAGATGAAATAAAGGCATTTTCAGATAGAGTAAAATTAAGGGAATCCATTGCCACCATGTCTGAACTACAAGAAATACTAAAGGAAGTCCTTCAAATAGAACCAAAAATGATACCAGAGAGAAACTCACATCTTCCTGAATGAATGAAAATAATGAGAAATGGCAAATATATGGATAAAAGTAAATACCTATTTTTCTCTTAAATCTATTAATTATATATTTTATTTTTAATATATAAATATATTTATGTATAATTGTTTAAAGTGAAAATATGCTGCCTTGTGGAGTTTATAATGTATGTGGAGATAATACATATATATGTGTCATGTGCATATATGACAGCTATAACATAAAGGAGTGGAGAGAGGAACTGTGAAAGGACCTATACCGTCCTATATAACTTTCAGAAAACCAGGAACAGAACTTTATTGATCTGATAAAGAACCTGTATGAAAAGTCTACAGCTAACGTTATACTCAATGTTGAAATATTGAATACTAATATCATACTTAATGATATCATATTAAATACTTTCCCACTAAGATTGAGGATAAGGCAGGGATGTCCATTCTTCCTACTTCTATTCAAAATGG